CAAAACTTTACTTTGGCACTTTTTTGCGAAGTTTCAGACCCAGACTCTTCAGGAACTTGATGTTCTGCGATGTCAGCTTCGTGAGAGGCACTCGACGACTGTCCACTTTCCGGCATGAGTCCTCACTTTTATAACTGCCACCGATCTTCTTCTCAAAGACAATGCCCATTTTCTTAATCAGCTCTTATATGAAGTCTCGCTGTGATGACTTCTTCACGGAAATTCACCAAACGATCGTCTTGGTCCACAATTTTTAATTGCAGGTGATCTATTGACTGCACAACGATCGGCAAGTAAATGACCTGAGCAGGCGATTCAATGATCTTATATCCTGTTGGAATGCTTGGGAAGAACTCATGGATCGTATGCGCACGTCGGCTATTAATGTAGGCCCCTGCAGTCAGATTACACTCGACCCGCAGTGAATTTACATGAATGATGTCTGTAGGTCTGGCAGCTCGATAGATTGTAGAATGGGCGAGAATCTCCCCTTGGAAACCAAGGAGTTGCCCAATCGAATCTGATTTCATGAAATTGATGATGATATCATTCGGCACTTCAATTACCGTGGTGAGAGTCCGATCATCAGCCTTCAAACTAAAGGGGATTCTCCAGGCTAATAATTCATTCTTCAAGTACTTCTCAAGATCACTGATTTCATAGCCCCCTGTTGGTATAGTCAGCCGTACTGACATTTCATCTTTTTGAAAATAAAATTTATTGCGTCCTTCATCGATATTAGGAATTGAATTGTACGTTAGGAATTGCACAAGTCCCACACTGTAAGATTTCCGAGGTGATAATTCAATGGGTGGGAAATACCAAGCCTCCAGTACAGAAGATCTGCCAGACAAGGTCAATGTAAATGAGTCACTCATCGTGGTTACCACTAAACTGATGTATATATGAACTTGTCTGCTGTTTTATACCAATTCACCAGAGAGAAATTTTAAGCATAAATGTCCACATATGATGGTATTATAGTCTTGATAATTTTTAGGGTTATATTTCACAATACTACCGTCACCGAGATAATCAATTAAATCTTGAGGTGGACGTAAATTGCCGTAGCTATCAAAGTAGCAGACTTCATAATCTTTCTTTTTAAACGCCACCCAGTGAGTACCTGGTCCACTTTTATCATCAAGATTTACTATAGCCGATTCATACTTCCATGGCCCACCTCGAGGCATGTCATTTCTCATATAAACACCACGAAAATGTGGAATTTTCATGGCTTTCGCATATTTCACTAGATCGCTATCAGTGAGAGCTCGGTGCGGTAGTCTTACTAGTTTTTTGGATTCAAATGTAAACCTAAACCCGACTTATAGGGTTTCAAATACATCCCCTTGCCCAGGGCGATGGCTTCCATGGTACGATTATGTCGCTGACTCTCTGCAAGTGCCGTGGCAGCATGCTTGGAGGCGTTGATTGCTTTGGCAATACCAGCAGCACCACCCGCGAAAGCACCAGTGGCACTGAGACCTGCAAAAAGTGGGATGAGGAATGCCGGAAGAATCCCACCGATTTTTGCTGGAATAGGGAGAATCCGAGGTACAGCTTTCATTTTCTTTCTCCCTCCAGCATGTTTCACAGCCTCGCGTGCACCTTTCAAGGCACTCTTCACAACATCGAACCCTGGGTGCATGGACCCCTTGGCAGCTTGCACAATCTGACGCAATGATATCTTCTTCTTGCTAGCCTCTCCAACCTTCTTTTTGCGACAGCCCTTTCCAGTCTTCGGTTTCGTCTTCCTCTTCTTCTCATCAGTAGTTTTCTGACTCACTCCCATGTCGAATTTATTCTTAGCCTTCAGGATGTTCCCCACACCGAAGGCCTTCTAACCAAGACTCGCGTCTTTGGCTAGAACTCGACGCCAAGCTTTATCAGCGAGGGCTCTATCAGCTGCGTGCCTAGCTGTTAAGTTCTCTCTGTTCTTTGAATAAGCTATATCGTGTTCCTTACACGCGGCATCCAGAGGATTTATACCAGGATCAC